ATATATATATATATATATATATATATATATATATATATATATGTGTGTGATATAACGAATTGAAAACTTTGAATTTAAAAATTTCCAAAAATTTTTCAATGAACGTATTTCAGCCTTTTCTCTTTAAATAATTTTTAAGCCGTTTGGAAGATTAAAAAAAATTAAAAATAAATTAATTTTTAGCTTTTATCATCAAATGACTTTTATCTGTTACAAATACTATTTTTTAGGTAGATGTCTTCGAATATCTATTTGTTGTAGTCGGTCTCATATTATTATTTGCAAAAATATAATAAAAAATAAATTTTAGGACATTATTGCCTTTTAATAACATATTTTTTTCATTATTCAAACAAGAAATCTACCTATCCATGTCGGGTATGGCCGAATGGCGTTTTTTTATTTCACTTTCAAGCGATTTTTATGTAATTTTATAAAATTTTGTAAAATTCATGAAAAAAATTTTACCCGGGAAATAAAAATTGATTAATTTTGAACCATTTCCAGTTAACTTTGGCGGCCTTGATCGTACGGCCCCAACCCAAGTAACATGTGCTTGAGCAAGATTTTGGTGCCAGCATCTTGAGCAAAACCCCTAGTTGCTAGTGTCTTTTTCTACATATGGGTCTTGCTCAAGTTTATTTAAAAAGACATGGTTCAAGATTTATATATAACTAGCTCAAGACATCTTGTGCAAGAATATGAGACAAGTTTAAAGCAAGGTGCATTGAAAAACTTTCTGACACATTTTTTGTACCAGAAACTCACAACAAAGACTTACCCATGACTTGCTCAAGATTTTCTCAAGATCCGTAATTCTCAGAAATCCACTGATTCTATAGTAAATATAGGAGGGGTAGAATGATCCGAACGGTCATTCGAAAACATTTCATCTTGAGCAAATCTTGAGCAACTCTTGCACAAGTATATTTAGCATGCTTCTGGTGTCAGTCTTTCTCCAGACTTGAGCTATAATCTGGCCCAAAGTTCTTGTACAAGGCTTGTCAATTAAATTTGCTACAAGTATCTGGAGCAAGACCCATAGGTAGAAAAAGACACTAACAACTATCGAAATTGAGACCAGATTTGCTCAAGCCTTGAAAAAGATTGCTATATGGGTAACTTATAAAGAATTATGTATAATGATTTTTATAATTTTTGTACAATTATATAGAATTTTATGATTCATTTATGATCGTATAGGTTATTTCATGCAAAATTGACCTCCTTTAAATCTAACTCCTATCGATTTGGTTGAAAGTTTTTTATCCTTTTTTACTCTGTAAAAATCATTCCTCAGAATTTTGGCAAATTGTCTTGCCCAAGTAAAAAAACTCAAAGTCTAGAGTTTTTTTTAATAAAAGACACACGGAAAAAATATTGATTTAAAATTACACTACAAATGATACTAAAATTGCATTTCAAGAGTGATTTAATTTTAGAATCACAGTTGATCTTATTTGCCTTCGACAAATTCTACTATCATCAACAGAGAATATGATGATGACAAAGTGACAAGTATTTTTTATAGATGGCGCTAAAATGACCAACTATTCAAGATTTATCCAGAGAATTACTCTCTGGATGCAAGTACATATCAACGTCAAGTAAAGTGCTTACTATCATGGAGAATATTATTATATTTTTTTATTTTGTATAGTGTTTATCTTTATTCTCTATAAATCTCAAAAATAAAATCAAATCAAGATACATTTTCTACCAGTTTTCGACACTATATATTTTGAGTGACTAAGTGATACAATTAATAATTTTCAATTAATTGGTTATTGTGAATTAACTTTCAATGTTCAAATCGATCGTTACATTTATAACTTGTCGTTTGTGTTTAGTTCACGAAAATAACAAATATATATGCAAACAGTCATATATTAACATATCAAACAATTAATTAAAAATTGCGCGCTATATGAAAGATTTACATTAAATAAAAAAACAAAATTATGTCATTTACAAATTTTATTGCTAAATTTATGACCTCCGAAGTTAAGCATGAGGTGATTAATGTTATTAAATTAATATAATATTATTTTACTGGGATAACTGAATTCAACTAAAGTATTTTTAATAAAATTGCTCTGGTTTTTAGTGTTATGCTGATAATTTCTTCAATAAAAGTTTAAATCCACTCTTTTAAAATTTTTTTTCTATTTTGTACGTAATTATATAAAAAATATATCACTTCCTGAAATATTTATTCATTCGAGATACGTTTTTATGCTTTAACATTATTGGACGAAACAAAGGTTCCGAGTATATATAAGCGCAGAAATCACCGCGAAAAGGTCTTACTCATTTTAATCTTATTCATCAGAAACGAAGTACACTTTGTTAATTATAATATCACTAATTTATTGAAAAATTGTTACAGAGTAAATAAGTAGTGAGATCTCTTGTATAGTGATAGGAGTTTTGAGTTGAATCTATTTTATATTTCATATTTTATATTGTTTTCTACACTTTAAAATTATGTTCGTTATTATGTATTCTCATTTTTTACTAAGTATTTAATTTTAAACAATGTATATTTGTATTATATGTACTTAAAATTTGCCATTTGGCCTGTGCCTTGGCATAATAAAACACCAATCTAAATCTAAATCTAAATCTAAATCTAAATCTACACTGAGTAAAAAAAAATGTTATTAGTCCAAAAAAAAATTTCTTGGCTCAAGAATCGTTTAAAATAAATTTTTGTTTTTTAACAAAAAAATAACAATATCTATCTTGATAATAAAATATTGGCATTAATTTTGATAGATTAACAAACGAATAGGTTCATTTGAATTAAACAAAAAATAATTCGATCAATTCTTGAGACAAGAAAACATATTTTTGAAAATTATCAAGAATATATATTTTTGTGACAAGAAAATTTTCTCAAGAGTAGTACTTTTTTTTCTCAGTGTAAAGTTAAATTTATCCCAATAATCTTCTTTAGTCATGCAAGTTTCTGAAAAACTGCAGGAGATAATTTTTATTCCTACACTCTAGAAGAAATAGATGTTTCAAACTGTACTTCAAGCAAATATTGATAAACTTAATTCATCATTTTATGTGATTTTATGTGTGTTTATCGGAAAATATTATCAAACAAGGCAAATATATACGTACTTTTGAAATATATAAAGAGTTCAAAATAAATTTGCTTAGTAACTCACATAAAAATCTCTAAAACTTATTTATAGCCGTTTTTTCAATTTATTTTTTACGAATATTTTGTTTATTATTTATTATAATTTAAACGATCGTTAGATAGGTTTTTTTTTAATAATTATTGTAAAAATTTTATAATGTAAAAAGTATATTTGTATAAATATTTTCAGCTCAAAGGGTTCAAGATGACAGATGTAAATAGAACTCGAAAAGTTGGGATCGCTTCTCGTAGTCTTCAAGAATTAAAACGAAAAGCTTGTTTAAAATTCAACGTAAGCAGTCAAACATATTGTATTTCATCGCTTGTTCATAGTGAATGATGGAGATTATTATAATAACATTCATTCACTCTATTCATTTGATACTGAGCGACTATTTTCCATGATATTCAGAAAAAATTTCATGTTTCGTCTAGTTTAAAATATTCTGACACTAATTACGATGTAAGTGTTATCCAATAATCATTAACTATATGATTTAAAAAAATAGATAGCTCTGCTGCAAAAGTAAAGTTATTCGATAGTACTTACGTAGTTTATAATTGATTCAGTCTTCTTTCACAGTATAATCTCATCCTAAACCACACTATCTATTAATTATCAAATTAAAAATAATGCTAATGCGTGAATTCAGAATTAATTATTTATTTTCATATCACGTAATTAATTTCAATTTAATTTAGATTGTTATTGTTATAAATTGTTACGTAGGTAACCAATGACATTGCAGAGATCAATATATACCTTTTAGATGGTTCTTTAATTGATGATGATGAGTATTTCCGCACCTTGGAATCTCAAACAACTTTGATCCTTCAGAAACCTGGAGAAAAATTATTTTCGGGTAAGCAATCGAATGATCAAATGAAATAATGTACCCGTGTAAAAATGATATGATATCATTATGAGGCTCATAATGAATATCATAATGAATCTCATATTTTGGTACTAATATGAGATTCATATAAAAGCCATATTAATATATTTGAAACCTGTATTAAGTAAAATACTTATGGAAACGAATTTTTTTAACTAGATTATAAAATTTTTATTTTTCTTGTTGGAGAAAGCAAATTTCCAGTAATTTAAAATTATTATTAAATATAAAATTTGATCCACACGGATCGGTCTTATGGAGATTCGTGACAAATCCATAGTGACAAACGCATAATTTCATACTGAAGTCATAATAGTAACTGCGTAAACTTATGATGGAATCAGGCTGATATTTTTTTAAATTCATCATAATATTGTAATGATATTGTTGCCTTCTATTCATAATTCAAGAAAAAAACTTTTTTGTAACTGTTGGAAATTCATTAGGACAGTATCTCCATGATGATATTGACATAATTTCATTATGAAATCATAATGATATTAAAATGAGTTAATAATTAAATGATGGTCATATCTTTACAAAATCATAATGATATCATAATGATATTGTTAGTCTTTTTAAATCGTGATATAAAATTATTGAGTCATAACTGTATACAGGAAATATTGCAAAATAATTAAATTAAAGAAATTTTTAGAAGGATTTAAATTGTTTTCAAAATAAGAAAATAATTATCTTGAGACGAAAAAATCTTTTCAGTCAAAAATTTTTTTTAAACCAAGATAGTGTTTTTCTAAATATTCTTCTAAGTTAAGAAAGACAAGGAAAAAATTTAAGTAGTTCAACAATATAGTGCATGATAAAAATACTATTTTTCTCAATTATTATACATTTCCTCTGATTAACAGAAAAGATGAAATTTTTACTGATCTACTGAAAAAAAATTCGTTCCCACAGGTATTTTACTTATTACGGGTTTCTAAAGTCATGATATGGCTCTTATATGAATCTCATATTAGTGCCAAAATATGAGATTCATTATGATATTCATTATGAGCCTCATAATGATATCATATCATTTTTACACGGGTAAAGTTTTAATTAATAAACTAAAAGTATATTTTAAAAAATAATAAATAAAAAAGGGAGCTGATGATTGGTTAACTATAAACCACTAAAATTACGGAGAAGTTTAATTCTAACTAGAAAAATCTTATAAACTTTTACAGAACACATCAAAATACGAACAAATTCACACATAGAAACTCATAAATAAAATTTATATATAAATTTGTCACTTTTTCCAGTAAAGATGAATTTCAAAACACTTGTTAGAATACATTTACAATTTTTTATTTTTATTCATTACAGATGCAGATTTACTGTATGAAATACTTAAAAAAATCAACATCGATTATCTCACAGCAGGTGAACAAGCTTATAAATTTTTATCAGACAATCTAAAAAAAAAAGTTGCAATTTTGAACACCGTATTGAATACAGATGATTCTAAGACTACTTTTAGTAAAAGAGATGATCATCCAGAGTGGTTTAAAGGATTGGAAAGTAACGTCTTGACTAAGGTATATATTAAAACTGGGATTCTTTCATGATAATTAGAAGCGCCAGTAACTGATTTTTAGGTTGATTCGATTCTTTCATTTCAGGAAGCATACATGCATCGTAGATGCCAGGACAGAATACGTGGGTATTTATATAAAGCAATTGAACAAATTAAAGCATCTAATACGTGGTTAACTAACCATGAAGCGAGAGCACGACTGTATGATGTGATTAATTATTTTAAATTACAACTCAAAGAAGATCATTACTTTGGATACTACTTCGATCGAAGTCGTGCTTATAAAAAAAAAGTGAATCACTTATTAGATACAACGGATGGAGCTTATAACGAGTGTTACAGCCATTGTCCTTGCCAAATTAAACTATTCAAAACAGAACAAAAAACTGATCAAGAAATAGACACTCTTGAAGATGAAATTGATGCTAAAAAGGTATCTCTTGATAATCAGCGTGAAATTAGGAAAATAACTGTTGATAATAAGAAAATTCCATCACATAAAATATTTTCTCGGAGAGGAAGTGAGGAATATGCACTTTGCGATGCGAGAGGAGAATTCAAATGTCAAGGTATTTGGAATGCGACCAACTGTGCTTATGGAGAAAAACATAAGATTAATCCATATCGATCGTATGAAGAACTTGTTCTTTTTTCAACTTGGAATTTAGATCATAAGTAAGTATTATATAGATTACGTTGTTTAATGATTATTTATATTTTCAATGTTAGTTATGATTTAACAATGCAAAATAATTATTACAGAATTGAAAGATCACGTACTCTGGTGCCGCAGTTGATAAAGTTATCTGAAGAAGATTTAATTAAAAGTGATGATGTTTACGAATGTTACAGTAATTTATTTACAGTCAAAAATTTAAACCTTGTACATATTATATGTCACGACAAAGGATCTCATATGAACAATTTTCGCAATTTAGATTTAAAATAAATCACAACCCTGTTTGGATGTTTTTGATTTGAACTAGACTGACGTTATTTATTGATTCATTTTACTGATTTAACTAGAAAAATATTTATAAATATACTTTAACTCGCGCTACATAGTAAAATTGTTTTTTTTTTTTTTTTCAATAAGTTTGAAAAATTGTAAATATGATTGAATAAGTCGACTTAATTGATTAGCAAAAATTACACCGTGAATTCACTTAAATAGTTTATTTTTAATTATAATTCCTTGCTTCCAACTAAAGTCTACATCATTAAACAAAACATTAAAATATTTTACATAACTTTACTGAGTGCATTAATTACTGATTGATTTACTGAAAATAGTTAGTGACAACGTCTTGATTGTAGTATTACCGGATTGGGGAATTGTAATAGTCATTGATAGGAAAAAAATTATCCCTGCAACTTCCCGCTAATTCCATACCTAAGCGCTTAAAATTGCACTTAAGACGTTTTTGAGCTCAAAAATACAATTTATGTGTTTTTTGATCTCTCCGAGCTCAAAGAGTATTAGCTATTGTGTGCTTGTGACCTCTTCGAGCTCAAAAGGCTGATAGAAGTTTAATAAAACGACATTCTTAAAATTTTCAAACTGCAATAACTTTTATATATCTTATATGCAAAAGTAATTGCATGTTCAAAAGTAAATTATCCTATAATTCACATTTTGACACAAATTGATCAGACCGAAAATTTTGGATAAATTTGAAAAGTTCACTTTTTCCGAATTTTTTCGATAATAGTAACTCACGAACCGTAATCAACCGATTTTGACGTTCTTGAAGAAGATCGACGTGGTTTTTTGGGCTCATATAGTTATATTATTTCATCAAAAATCATTTCGCCAAATGACGCTGCAGCTGATTATCTTATATACCATTGAACTGATCGTTATGAATATTGGTATGCATATTTATTTAAGTTCATTTGAATCTCATGAAACAATATTTTAGGTGCTCAAAATGGATTTGGCAACTCTGTCAAGCTCAAAAGCAATACAATGATTCTTTTTTCCTCATGTAACAAAAACAGAATCTTTAGCGTGTATGATAGAAGGTTAATAACTCTACTATGATAGAATTAAATATAATATTTTTATAATATTTGCATTTAAATAGTAGAACTTTCTATTGACTAGAGTAATATGTAAACTTTACAAATTTATGAATTATATATTATTATCTATAAAAATTAAAATGATCATGTTCCTAAGATACTCACCAAGCTTTATTCAAGCAATGTCTTTCTTCTTGAAATAAATATAATATAGCTGAATAATAAGAACTCTAATTGGATCAATTCAGAGTAAAGATGAATGCTTTGTATACAGTATTTAGCTTTACAGTCAACGTCATGAAATAAATTCATGTACACTTGAGAGATAACAGATCATACCACTAGTATTCAGTGATAATTTACAAGCTTTTATTTTATCACATCCTCTTAAAATACCGTATAGTATTCTATTAGAGAGTGTCTAAATAGAAAAAAATCTGGAAAACAGTTTTTCCAGCTATGTTCATTCTCATAATACTTAAAAACTGAAAGATATGCAAATAGTAAATTTCTCCCAATTCTAAATTAGTTACATACATTTTTAAACTCTTCAGGTTATAAATCAAAAAATTTTTTTTAAGAAACGAGTGTTTCGAGATTTTTTAAATTGCGACAGTCTTATGATAAATTTACGCATTTTGATTAACATGGAAAAATTTGACGTAGCTGTTTAAGCACATTTCAATAGAAATGATACAATTGAAAAACTTATAGTGTTTAACTTATTTTTTTTAAGCACGAAAAAAAGTTTGGATACAAAAAATTGTTTCGACAGAAAATACAAGAGTTCTGTTGAAAAAACTCTTTTCGAAATTTTTAAATTCTAAAATAATAAAATAAAGATATTAGAGGAAAGGAGCGGGGGCAAAACGAGGCACTTGAGAAAATGCTTAGTTTTCGAAAAGTATAGTAAATCTTCTTTTTTATTTATATTCCAAGTAAAAAGAACAAATTTTCAGCCTCCATTAAGAAAAAAATTTCATCCAAAAGCAACAAAGTGAAAAATACGCCTCAATAAAAAACCAAACTTAAAAATATAAATAATTTTTTAACGAGTTTAAAATACGGTAAGATTGATTACAAAATAATCATTTTCTTATAAAAAATCGTAGGATGCGCCTCACGCTGTTTTTGTTTCATGGATTCACATTATAAAATAATGAGAAATATCAAATCTGATACTGATACTTCAATATCAATATCAATATCAATGCCGATATTCTGTCATAGGGAAATTACATAATCAATATTAAAGACAGCAAAATGTCCATATATATTTTCGTACGAAGTGATTATGAGAGAAAACAATTGGATTTACCATATGGAAAAAGCTATTTAAGGTTATGGACCGTATTTGATAACTGTCCCAACAAAATAGTTGTAGATAATAAGATCCCCCCCCCCCCCAATTTCTACTCTGGATATTACACTGACGTTTGTAAGTTAACTCTAAACGTAGATAATTGGGCTTAGAGTTTTGACTGTTCTGATCCTTCAATCAATCCTCAAGTTTTGAATTGAGTGTTTGTTGCATCTTTTTTGTCAATCATCTGGTGTGTTTTTTTTAAGTTTTCTTCACATATAAAGAAGTTATCTGGGTATTTACCGTGATTTAAATAAACGCGCAATTTTTAGCTCATGTCATTTGTAGGTCGAGGATGTTGTTCCATTATCTGATCGTTCTCTCTAAACAGCTATCACCATTATTTTATTTTAATTTGCCACAAAGTCATTTGAGCAGAATTTTCCAGCACTGCAAAATTTTTAAAAATTTCCTTGATGGGTGTTTAAGATCAACACCGTGTCATCTTTATCCTTGATGACATGAAACTTCTTGGTCTCTATTGTTGAATACCCGATATTATGGCTTAACGCATAATTGAATTACTTCTAAAAAATAATTGCGAGATAACATTGATATAGAAACTAATAATTTCAATCGAACTCATTTGAACCAATTTTTTAAACACTTTTCGTGAAAATAAGGTCCAGATACCTTTATAGAATATATTGTTCAATATGGTTGGCAACATTCAACTAAAATGTTTTGAGTCCAAGAAATAACCCGATTCAAAAGGTCACTCAATCTCATATTCTTTGACACAGCCTTTTAATTTTATAAGCGATAGATTATGAATCCATCTAGTCATCTTATGTAATCAAATAGTACATTTCTCACCTAGGGCAGGAAAATAAGAAATGTCTCAGATTACATGTAATTGTTGACCGAGGTGAGAATACTGTTTTCCTCCTCGACAGAGGCGGAAAGTGGCATTTTCGTTTAGCGCTGCGGGAGGAAAATGACACTTTCCGCCCGGAGTGGAGGAATAGTATATTACACACCTATGGAAGTAAAGTAAGAAATGTCTCAGATCACATGTGATCTGAGGCTTTCTTATTTACTTCCTGTGGAGTGTATACTATTTTTTTGCTCGACGAAGGCAGAAAGCGGTACTTTCGTTTAGCGCAGCGGGCCGAAAGTTGACGCTTTCTGCCCGTCGAGCAAAAAAAAACATTATTCATTGCTCAAAATTACATTATAGTCCAATTACTTGTTTAGAAGATTTTGCTAGTCGAACATGTTCTGATAGTGTTTTCTTTTAATAACCCTGATTCAGAAAGATGATTTGAAATGATTACCTTCATGTTAATTGTATATCTATATAGTATTCAAATCCGATGCATTTAAATCATTTCAAATTAGATTTCTTAATCAGGGAACTTATAGATTTTCGATCTCGATTAAGTCACAAAGTTAGCAGCTTGAGCTTGAAAATCGCGAAAAATGTAAAGAATGGCCTCAAAGATCAATTGTATTCAGAATTTTCTGTAACTCGTTTCTGAGATTTCTTAAATTTATTCTACCAAGTCGGCTCAAAACATCAGGATATTTCAATCAAATGAAACTTTTTCAATTGCTGTAAAGTGAATTTTGATCTGTTGATACAATCAAAGGATATGAGAGTTTTTATACACTGGACACATATACACACTTATATATCCCTGCGCACGCATTCATGTACACAGAGCATACGAAATATTACCGTAAAAATAATCAGAATAGCTTCCTAAGGCTTTAAAAGAGTAAAATTTAATAAAAATTGAACTTTAGATGTGACGGACGGCGTTAATTTTTCCAAATTTTGGAAAGTTTTTAGTTTTCGTACAAGAAAGAAAAAAAAGTTCATAAAACTTCTTACTTTTTTAGTTTTTCATGTGGCGAAATCGAAAAATAATATTAACAATTGTATTGAATAAGAATTCAGGGGTATTATAGAAAAATTATTCTTCTGTCCATTCTTACATTAATTTTTTCGTTTTGTATTTGTAATCATGAGTATGTATGGCCGCGCCGGCGTTATCCGTGCACATACCCCATGAGCATTCGGTGAGGCGCATATTCGAAATAAAGGAAGAGAAACCTCGAACCACCTCTTATTTAGAAGCCAAAAGAAAAGAGAGGCGCCACTAGTTCAGCCCTTTGGAGTATGACGTTTCGATCAACGACTCCAAACCAACGAGGATTTCAGTCTGATCCGGACATTCTAGTAGAGTGTGTGTTCTATGAGTTTTAATACTAGACTGTACTTTATTCTGATGCAAATCAACACACTTAGTTTACCGTCAATCAATTTATCTAATTGTCATGTATTTAAAAATGAATTAGATTTTTATATAGAGTAATAAAGTTACTTGGTGTTTTTCGGAAGTTATCCATTACTTATGGAATATATCAGTCTTGGATATTATACAGAATTAGCTGATGTGTAGTGTAAAGCTTCCAGCAGCCGATCGATAATGTACATTTTCATTTTGTCTACGAATATTTTTAGTCTTCAGATATTATGGAACTTAACTTTTTTGGATTAATTGTAATTACGTATTTGTAATTACTATTTTGTTGTTTACTTTTTTAAAAGTGCC